TATTCAACCGTTCTTGGTCGCCACACAAATTTTCCAAGGCATACTGTAGCTAAAATCGGCTCATTCATATCCAATATGGCAGCCAACACGTGTGTAGAAAAAAATGTGAACAATTCAAATTGAATGTCTGACGTCTGTTTACTTCATGTTGAACAATGTTAAGGTGATACAATTTTAAATTCATGTTTTTGAACTGTGTCCTTAAACAACTGAAGTATTTTATCAATTAAAGCTTGTATCAAAAGTTATTTCATGTGCGAAGGCGAAAATAGGGTGCATCTCAAAGTTAACAAGAATAAATTTCAAGATTGACTTACTTTGATGAAGAAAACAATGAAAGTCAAATACAAACATAATCTATAATCATAATTTAACTTTTATTGATAAGTTCATTACTAGAAATGACAATACGTCATATGCATAATGACACATAAGCCACTGTATATTAATAAGGAAATCAAAGGAAGACAACTCTTGCATTTTACATCTAGTGTCAATATATACTTCTGTGTTTCAACAACGGCACAAGAATACTGTGAAATTTAAGATAAAATTCAATAACTGGTACCTACATATGTAGGTTATATTCTAAAAATATTTTGATCTTGCATTCCTGTATTATTATCTGCTTTTTATTGGCCAATGTACAATTTCTAATCATTTTCCTCAGAAAGATAGATAACTCTGTATGAATTCTGCATTTTTTAAACATTCATACAAGACTTAATTTTCACCCGATTTGAGAAATGATTGCTGATATGGAATCAGTGGGTCATACTTTACACAACAAAGATAAAAAACTGACAATTATTTGACTCCTTAAAAATTATTAGGCATTGCTACTAAGTGTCCATAGTTTCTTTCTCTACTCCACGTCACCACAACCCATTCCAAACTTTACATTACGCCCTTAGAATTCCCCATTGCTAAAAATAGACCAACATTGAACAAAAAAAACTTCAGCCATTTTATTTAGGGGGGAAATTGCATGCGTTAAAAGCTCGAATCTTTATAATGTACGCGACAAATGTGCCAGAAATATCATGAAAAGGGGGGGGGGGATAATTATAGGAAGAGTAATCAATAATGTGGCTGCATTTCAAGTATGAAAATAATTAACAATCTGTGAATAAAGTTGAGTTACCAAGTTGCACAGTGTCATCTCTTGGTTTCTGGGTGCACGTACAAACTGCAAACGGTATCTTGTCAATGTCAGACTTCTCAAGTTTGCTGGAATCCGGGTGTGCACGGAGTTGATTCAATATGCATTGAAATCTTGATCGCCATCTATGACCATGTGGCATACATTCTGGGTCACTTGCATCCTCACAATCCGGGTATATAGGCATTTCTTTTATCTAATCGACACTTTAAAGTTTCTTTTTATAATAGATCCATAATATATCGTATAATATTGATAATTCCTGACTCCCAAGAAACGCTTACTATTCTCAAAACGAAAGTTAGCAGGTGGTAAACAAGGTAAATCTAGTATTGCCGAATCCCCGACGTTTTTTTTTTTTAATTTATGTTTCATGATATTCTCCGCATCGCTTTTAAAACAGATTCGGTTCAATTTTTTCATACAAATTACTAACTTTGTGGAACTAAATTCACATAAACAAAAAAATATTATGCGAATTGTGGCATTCATGGTCTAACGTTAAATTGAGCAGTTCAAGGATTCGGTATCCGTTTTTGGTTTCTACATTGTTGATATATTTATGTTTATTATACTTTCATGTTAAATACTAAAATCTGATTGGTTTAGACGCATTTAACAATCCGTAATGTTACCCTCAGCGTTAGCAACAGACTTGACAACGGGTAACATTACGAAAATATCACATGCGTTCAAATCATGCGCGTACGGTTCACCGTAGAATTCTCAAAACGTCGGTTGTGCGTTTGAAAGAAGCCGAATAAACGACGTCAATAAAAGCTTGCGTCCGATGTAGCTTACTTGAAAACAACAAACGACAGACGAAACATCCTTGCGAGTGCAAACTTTAGATGATAAAGGACTTTTTGAGTAGCAAACAAACAATAAAGAGGTTGGTAAATCTTTTCCGAAGCTTTCTTATTGAGAAAAATAGAAGCGGGGAGTTTGAAAGCTTTCTAAGCGTGAACTTAACGACGATCTCCGAATTTTTTTATGACATCCGAAATCAATAAGACATTCAGTATAATAAAATAAATAGTACACGTTTTTGAGGGTAACAGTTGAAATTGACACCCCTCGGAAAACCATTGTCAACCTCCGCTGACGCGTCGGTTGACAATGGTTTTCCTTGGGGTGTCAATTTCAACTGTTACCCTCAAAAACGTGCACTATTTATATAATGTGTGAACGTATTGATTTCAACGCAGAAAATGTGCCTGGCAAGTATGAAGCGATTCTATACAGTGGTATGAAGAATGTTAATAGAAAACCGAGAGAGTCGGGAGTCTTCAGTATTAGATTTACCGCTTGCCGTCAGTCAATATGCCAGAGCGGGAAAATATGTTTTACATGCACAGTTCGCACAGCCAGTGCAGCTAGGGACCTATACTTCCTGGTGCAGCTGCTGAGCAGTTACTAGAGCTCCAAAATTACCATGTGAACAGACCTTTAGAGGTAGTGTTTTAAAAGCAAGATATGCACCTGGAAACAGACAAACAGCAGGGGCCTATATATGTACAAACAGGCCCGAAGGAAACAATATCAGTTTTACTTTGAGTGGGCCCATCCATTCAGTTGGGGGCACTATCAACTACCAAAAATTCGATGACAAGCAAAAAAAGGGTCATCTGACGTTATTATTGAGGGGGTACAAATATATAGTAGATATATGTTTTCTACATGTTCTATGAATCGGCAAAATTACGGGGGGGGGGGGGGGGGGGTCGACCATCTTTGGGGAAAAACCCATAGAATCCTCACAGTTTCTGGTTTGTTACTTTGTCATTTGACTGGAAACAATCTGTGCATCTTGTACATTGATTGCCCCAGCATGGGGCTAGCCATACACCGAAAGAAAAAAATGTTAATGTAGTGGATTTATCAAGGCACGCCCAAATGTTTGAGAGTATAAAGAGGAGAAACATCATTTCTTTTCCTTTTGACCTTTTGCTTCACCCTGCAAAGGGACAACTTTTGCAAAGTGTGGATTGAACTATAATACATGTGCATGTCCCCATTTTATTTCTCATTTTCACTGCATGTCAGGCACATAGTATTGGGAGGAGGGGGACAGCCCCCCTTTTTTCCAAACATATGGCTGTGACCTTTTACTGTTGAACATGTTCATTCATTGAAAGGCTGCCCCCCCCCCCCCCCAAGTTTTGCTTTGCACTCATGTAAATATCAAAAAATCCTCTCCCACTTTTGAAATAAATTCTATGTTTTGACATTCAGTTTGATTTTATTCTCTATTGCAATTACATGCAACAATATACAATAATTGTTACTTAAACTGCAACTGGATATTGAAAAGTTGCATCAAAGGCTATTTTCCCAATTATGTTTTACTTTGATTGGTCAATATTTTAATGAGTTACAAAATATTCTCTTCTCATTCAATCATGGCCTACTGTAAATCAATCTCTCACCAGGAAGCGAGCTCCCAAGCTTGCAAGCTTCGTTTACACAGTTGGAGTGGAGCCTAATACGCCCTCTGGTGAGAGATTGGGCCTGAATGGGAGAGGATCAAACATTTTGCAACAATGAGTATTCCAACAAAAATCGAAAAATTAGAATGGTGAAATGCTACCTATTACTTGTCTTAGATTGAGCTGGACTCTATAAATTGTTTGTATCTATATTTACAGTGGCACTAGTAAGTAATTAGGTTAAATTGAAGATATTAAGTGTGAATCTATAAGAGAGTACAATGTATATTCTCTGATGGAATCTTGCTGGGAGATTGGATGTGTTTAGTTTTTATCTCTACTGGTCAGAGACCAGAAGACCTTATGCAATAGTAAGGTGTCCGCCGTCCCTCCGTCTGTCTGTCTGTCTGTAAACAATTTTTCAAAATGCTACTCTTCCTACAGTTTTGGTCTGATTTCAATATAACTTGGCACACAAATAGACTAACTAAGATGCATAATTCTGTGTATCGGTATTTGAATTCAGTGAAGGTGTTCCTTGGTTTCTAAAAATAGAAATTTCTGTGAAATACATTCAAAATGCTACTCCTCCAACCGTTTTGGTCTGATATCAATATAACTTGGCACACATTAATAGACTACACTAAGATACATAATTCTGTATATTGGTTTTTGATTTTGATGAATGGTGTTGCCATGGTTTCTAAAAATAGAATTTTCTGTAAAATGCATTCAAAATGGTACCCCTCCTACAGTTTTGGTCTGATTTCAATATAACTTGGCACACAAGTAGACCACACTAAGATACATAATTCTGTGTATCGGTTTTTGATTTTGATGAGCGTTGTTACCATGGTTACTAAAAATAGAAATTTCTGTAAAATACATTCAAAACCCTACTCCTCCTACAGTTTTGGTCTGATTTCAATATAACGTGGCACACAAGTAGATTACACTGAGATAAATCATTCTGCATATCCATTTTTTGATTTTGATGAAGTGTTGCCATGGTTACAAAAAAATTGAAATTTCTTTGATATACTTTCAAAACATTACTTTGCCTACAGATTGGTCTGATTTTAATATAACTTGGCATGCAAGTAGACTACACTGAGATACATAATTGTCTTTATTGTTTTTTGATTTTGATGAATGATGTTGCCATGGTAACTAAAATCGAAATTTCTCTGATATTCTTTTAAAAGAACTCCTTCTACAGTTTTAGTCTGATTGCAGTTCATCTTGCCACAAAAAGAGAGTAAAACAAGGATTATTATTTATTTATTGCTGTTGCAAAGTTTCAAGTCCAAGTGCTACTTTTCTCTTACTTTGTTATAAGTACAAACCAGTAGAGCTACAGTCTCAATAGAGACTTCTGGTTAACTCAAGTGAGCTTTTCTGATCAAAATTGTCCTTTAACTGTTGTTGTAATAGTCATCGTAAACTTTTCATATTTTTATCTTCTCCAGAGCCAGTGGGGCAATTTCAACCAAACTTGGCACAAAGTATCAATCTTTTACAAATCTTTTAAAGTCTTTTTTAAGAACAGCAAAGACATGATTTGTTATATTGATATCAAGCTTGCACAGGTATTGTAGAGAAAAAAGATCTTTAAAAACCTTCTTATTTGACCTCTTGATCTTGACCCTGGAGTTTGACCTACTATTGAAAAAAATTTAATCTTGGCCATAGCTTTTGAATGATTAGTGCTAGGACTTTCACTTTTCACACATGTATTCCTTGTATTTAAGACCTTCCCTTAGATACAAACATTTGTGACCTTTGACCTTGACCTTGGAGTATGAACTTCTTTATAAAAATTCAAACCTTAGTCATATCTTTTTAATTGTTGGTGCTAGGGTTTTATTAATTACTTGTGACAAGACCTTTCCTTGGGTACTAAAATTTTTGACCTCATGACATTGATCTTTGAGTTTGATCTACTTTTGAAAAACTTTAATCTTAGCCATAACTTCAGAACAGTTGGTGCTAGGGCTTTCATATTTACATGTGTATTACTTGGGACAAGATCTTCCTTTGAGTACATAATTGACCTCTTGACCTTCATTTTGGAGTACCTACTTTTGAAGAGCTTTAACATTGGCCATAACTTTTGAACTGTTGGTGTTAAGACTTTAATAATTTGCATGTGTATTTCTTGTGACAAGATGTTTCCTTGGGTACCAACAATTTTGACCTAGACTTTGGAGTTTGATCTACTTTTGAAAAACTTTAACCTTGGCCATACATATTTCTAGAGAGAGAGAGAGGGGAGAGAGATATATTGACACAGACACCGATCGATAGCCCCACCTCCTATAAATATTGATTATATGTGTCCTAAAAACCACTCCGGGTACATGTCAAATTCTGGACAGCAACCCTAATGTATCGTTGCTTCAATTTTGATTCATGGCACCAAGGCATTGCTTTTGTACAAATGTTCTACCTAACATAATCATGTATATGTAGCTCTTTCTATTGCTTGTAAAATATTTTGGATTCACTTCATTTACTAATTCATTTAGGCTAAAAGAGAATGACAAACAGGTTATCTTTTGTGTCCCTCTGGATTTGTATTATATCTCACTGCAGCAAGATTTATGAGTCTTGGATATATTTCTGAAATTAAAAAAGAAAGATTAATTTATAGCCATTGCCTGCAAGTAATGTCTTATCTTACCAATTGTCTGCTTCTTTATGGAAGAATTATGTACAAATTAACTATATTTCCAACTTGAGATATCACTACTTTATAATATGCCATTATCCTTAACTATCATTGTTTGGATGCCATTCATGTGCCTAGGGGTAATTTCCCTTGGTGGCCATT